GAGTCCCAGTGTGGTGGTGCACACCTGTAATTCCAGCACTGGGTAGGCTGCAAACAGAAGGATCATTATGAGTCCAAACTCCTTATTGAGTACGAGTCCATGCTCCTTAATGAGACTGTAACAACCAAATAAGTTTTAAAAAATACACTCTTTTTCTCTAAGTTTTTTGTTTGTTTGTTTGTTTTTTGTCTTTTTGAGGCAAGGTTTTTACTGTGCCATGCAGGCTGGCCTCAAATTCAGCCCCAACCTCTGAAGTGCTGGGATTACAGGCATGTACCACCACCCTCTGGTATTTTTTGTTTTTGTTTTTGGTTGTTTTTTTTTTTTGTATTTTGTGCAGGGTCTCACTATGCAGCTCGGAATCGTAATGATCCTCCTGCTCTCATCCTCCCCATTGCTGGAATTACTGGCATGTACCACCACACCCAGGCTCAGTCACAGGCTCATTGCGCCCAGAGGCAGGGCCACTGCAGCATGTGGTGCTGGGAATTGGACCCCAGCTCCCACACTTGCCTTGGCAGGTGCTTAGTCCACTGAGATATCTTGCCAGTCCTTCAGTGATTTTAATGAAAGGCTTTTACTAGTTCATTTAGCATGATGATGCTATGGAAGAGTATACATCTATGGTTTCTCTTTCTTGTGCTTTTTTTTTTTTTTTTTTTAGTATCCGGCTCTAAAGAATTTGGAATGGAATTATTGGGGTATAAAGCAGTAAGATTTTCCTTTGCTTCAAATGCTAATATGATTCATAGAATGCAAATAAATAGTTCATAAAAATACAAGCTTTTAACAACCTGGTTAGATTTTTTTTTTTTGTATTTTTACTACAAGGTCTACAGGGTCTCACTACACAGATTGGATTTGTAATTATTTTTTTATTTTGACAAAAGACTTCTTTTTTTAAATTTTATTTTAGGCCATTGAGATGGCTTAGTAGAATAAGCGCTTGCCTGGCAGGAACAAGGGCCTGAGTTCAATCCCCGGTTGCGTAAAATAAATTTTACTTTATTTGTGTGTGTGTGGCCAGCTCAGCCCACCAGGGGGCGGGGCTGGCTGGCATGTGGTGCTGGGGGATTGAAACTTGGTCCCTGTGCTTTGCTAAGCTTGTTCTAAGTAGGTGCTTTAGACCACTGAGCCATCTCACCAGCCCTAGATTCTGTTTAAAATTTTTTTTTTTAATTTTTATTTATTTACTTTTTAACATTTATTGTGTGTGTGTGTGTGTGTGTGTGTGGCCAGCTCAGCCCACCTGGGGGCAGGGATGGCTGGCATGTGGTGCTGGGGGATCGAACTGCGGTCCCTGTGCTTTGCCAAGCTTGTTCCAAGTAGGTGCTTTAGACCACTGAGCCATCTCTCCAGCCCCTAGATTCTGTTTAGATATTTCAGCAGAAGGTAATCTTGGAAGATGAACCTAGAGAGTAATATATTAGACTCACATCTTTTGTGACTTGTTCTTAAAATCTTGGAACCATTGTTTTGGTGTTTTTTTTTTTTTTTTTTTTTTTTTTTTTTTATTGATAAGCATTTTACCTTCTGTCAGTTTATACAGAACTGGAAAATTGATTATTATGCACCACTTTTTGCATAAAGCATATAAATTATAGGTTCATATTATAAGTAATAAGGAAAATCAGATTTAAGCTTATTTGTTTTGGTGGTATTAAGGATTTAACGCAGGTATTGAACTCTGCTACTGGTCTACATCCCTGCCTATTCAAAAATTCTGAGATAAGACTCTACTAAGTTGCCTAGATAGGCCTTAAATTTGCAATCTTCCTGGCTCCTGAAGTTAAAATTATTTTAATTATTAAAGGTACTAGATTATGGATGATAAATTTTAGTTTTCAGTTTTGTTAGGTGAAGGTTGTTCAAGTCAGCCATCTTAATTTGTGTTTCAAGAGTAGGGAAGATTTGTTAGTCTGAGACTCACACCAGCCCAATATCTAATGTCTTGGTAGTATACTTTTATTTGTATGTTTTGAGATAATAGCTTTAGGATGTATAACTTAACTCATGTTTTACACACTTGTGTTTTCTTAGCATTTGATCAAAAAGGAATGTACTAAACATTCTAAAAACTTTTGAACATCGTATTTAGTAAGGGCTTAAACTTAAATATAAGTTTTTGAACTGGTCTTTAAAAGGTTTTTAGCAGGTAGTTACCTTATATTTAAACATACAAACACTGTCTTCGAGGTAGTCAATGATACCTGCTTATGTATTAATGTCAGAATAGAACAAGAATTAACAAGAGATAGCATAAACCTAAAGAGAAGTTGAAATTACTTTTTACTCTCATAAGTGAAGAGCATTTAATTGACATTTTATTTCTATTAAGACCTGTTGTAATGTTTCTTTCTCCTACTCCTATAGTACATCGAGTATGGGCAGCAGTCTAGAGATCCTCCTGTGAAGATGCAGGGCTCTATTACAACTCCTGGAAGTATTGCACTGGCTCAGGCCCAGGCTCAGGCCCAGGTTCCTGCGAAAGCACCTCTTGCTGGTCAGGTTAACACTATGGTAACCACCTCAACAACCACCACTGTTGCTAAAACCGTTACAGTCACCAGGCCAACTGGAGTTAGTTTTAAGAAAGATGTGCCAGTAAGCAGATCTTTTTCTTTTCCAAGATTTATATTGTAATAGATTCTTATAGCTATGTATTTTAGTTTGTTATAACACTGCTAAAGTTCCTCCTCTCCCCACATTTCACAAACCTAATAACTATTAATAGTTCGGTATATGTGCCTGCCTATACTTTGAGTCAGTCATACCCTGCATATTTTTCATACCACCAGAATCACTGTCTTTTATGGGAATTCAAAGAAAGCATTTCAGCTTACGTACCTTACATATTTGCTGCTTTTTTTTTTTAGCCTTCCATCAATACTACAAATATAGATACTTTACTTGTGGCCACAGATCAAACTGAGAGAATTGTGGAGCCCCCAGAAAATATCCAAGAAAAAATTGCTTTTATTTTCAACAACCTCTCACAGTCAAATATGACACAGAAGGTGAGCAGGATGTCATAGTTTAAATGCTGTCTCCTTTATACCACTGTTGAGGGATTGGTTTTGATGCTTTTTAATAATACCATTAAAGTTAGAGGTAATGAAACCATAATAAAGGGCATGTAGGTCTCCAACTAGAGATTGGAAGTTTGTGGCTGTGGTTTTTGTAAACATGTACCATTTTAAGACATACTGCTTTGCAAAAGTTACAGACTTGGAAATAAACTTGGTAGTCTCCTGGTGTTAAAAGATTTCATTTGTTTCTAGTTATTACTCATTGAGATTTGGAAATGCTTAATGAGGTACCTAATGAGGTAAATCTTGTGAAAAGCATGAAAAATGGTGCTTCTTGCATAAGAAGAATCTACACTGAGTACACTTGAAAATAAATAATAGTGTTAGTGGTTAAGATTAGCCAAAAGAAGTTTGTTTAGGAGTAGCTTTCAAAAATCCCAGTTGGTTGGGGCAGCGGCCTTTATTTGATAGACCTTTTTGAAGAAAAGCTTCACAGATGATTCATAGAGATTTTTCAAAAACAGTTCTGTTATATCTGTTACTGTCATATTGTAGTTTATTAAGTATTTTGTAGGGCTAGGGATGGTGGCAGGTATTGTACATGCTTTATAATTTTAAAGCTAGAAGTAATTGTAGATGTTGCAGTCCTTATTTGAGTCCTGGGGAGTGATTGACTATACTGCTGTAAAATTAAACATACACATTAGGATTTTTTATGTCATGGGGGGAGGAAACTGCTGGCTTTGGCATCATGTCATTTTGTAAGAAGGCACATGCTACACTATGCTTTACATAAACAAAACCTTCTTCAGTCATAGTATAATTCTGTACTGCTTTATCCTGTTGATTGACTAGGTTGAAGAGCTAAAAGAAACTGTGAAGGAAGAGTTCATGCCTTGGGTTTCACAGTATCTAGTTATGAAGAGGGTCAGCATTGAGCCAAACTTTCACAGCCTGTACTCAAACTTCCTTGACACCCTGAAGAACCTTGAATTTAACAAGATGGTTCTGAATGAGACCTACAGAAACATCAAAGTAAGAGTTAGCTTTTGTATTTTCTTTAATAATTGCTTTGAACTGGGAAACAATTGATTGCATAGGTAGAATTTGAGGCAGTGGTTTGTTGTTGTTTTCTCCATATTGTATATATTAGGTATCTATAGAAATTGCTCTAGGTTTTAAAATATAGAATGAACAAAGATTTTACTTTTACAACCTGTGTGGGTTTTTTTTCAAAATGTGTAAACTCTCAGGCCTATGTGCTGTATAATGAATGTGTCTATTCTGAAGGCGTTCATTTTTTGTGTGATTTTAGAATTTCACTGTTCCCATTGTGTGTGAAAATGTGTGTGGTTTAGTGTATTCTATATATGACATCTCTCTCTCTCTTTTTTTAAATATTTATTTTATTTTGTGTGTGGCCAGCTCAGCCCACCAGGGGGCGGGCGGGCAGGCTGGTATGTGGTGCTGGGGGATGAACCCAGGTCCCTGTGCTTTGCTTGGCTTAGCTTGTTCTAAGTAGGTGCTTTAGACCACTGAACCATCTCACCAGCCCCACATCTCTTCTCTCTCAATCTGTTCTTTCCCTGTCTCTCCTCTACTGTCTGTGCCCCGTCCCCAGCAGCACAACACCCACATTCTTTATTTTCAGGTAGTTGCTCAGGTGGGCTTCAATTATCACCTCTTTTCAACTTGATTTTTGTTGAGTATTTATTTGCAAAATGCTCTTAGCTCCAGAACTTGTTCTCTGGCAACATTATTCTTTTAGTTAAGTGCTAGATCTCTAGACTTACGTGTGGAGTAGCTTTTCTCTCTGCGTTTCATAAGATCAAGTTCATAAAATTTGGATGTTTTAATTTCTAAATCATTACTTGTAGAATAAAGGTTTTGTTTGTTTTTAAGAAACTTGTATAAATCAGCATACAGCTATGGTCATTCTTTGCCTAATAATTTGGGATTGTTTTAGGACCCAGCACTATATTTAAACTACGGATGGGAATTTTCCCCATTCTTGGTTACGCTGTAGTGCAAAAAGAATTCCTGACTCTGTTTTGAACAGCTGATTTGTGCCACTCTGCTGATTCTTTGTAGAGTTAAGGAACAGAACTTGGTTAGGTTTTATTATCTAATAATGGTGATGAAAGTTACTCTCTAGTCTGGCAGCATTTAAGATCTTGTGCTTTAAAGAAAATTTATATGGCCATAAATTGTGCCTATGCCCAAATTTTTTCATACTTCTATGAGGGTTCTATCCTCTTAGAAAATACAATAATTGGAGAATTGGTTATATGTATTGGATTTTATAGATATTTGAAAAAGAAATGAAACCTGGCATGGTGACACATGCCTATAATTCCAGTACTTGAAAGGCTGGAGTGGGAGGATCAGGAGTTCAAGGCCAGCCTTGTCTGTGAGTGAGTTCAAAGCTAACCTGGACTGTAGAGTGAACTGTCTCAATAAACAAAGAAGTGAATAAGCAGTACATAGTATATTCTAGGAAGTAACCTTAGTTGACTCAAGCGGTACACTGTATAATAACCTGGATATACAGAAGATTGTAGTAGTTATTTTGTTTTATTCCTCCACATATTTGCTGCTTTGAATTAGAAGTAAAATTATCTTAATTTAAATTGAATTTAGCTCTTCAAAATAGATTTGTCTGTATGACAGAGTTTGCATAGTGGGATCGAAGTTCAGACATTAAATCCATTTATTTCATATGTATCTTACACACACACAGCCTTTAGATAATTTTGTATGGTATTTTTAATGTGTTTCACTTATGGTTGCAACTTCTCACTTGAGAAACTTCCATTTATGGCATCATCAGCCCTGACAATTTTTCAGATTTTTAGCATTTTGGTTTTCAGATTTTTGAATTAGATGTTCAGTCTGTACCTATTCTTAAAAAGTAATATCTTTTTGTTTTGAGTAGTGGAAGTAAAACCCAGTGTCTTGCACGTTAGGTAAGCACTCTATCACAGAGGTATGTGTCCAGTTCCTAAGGCTTCTTAATGGTAAAAATGGATGTTTGCTAATGAACACAGCACAATCATATTTATATGACATAATGTAGTAACTCATGCTTTGAGACATATTCCCAGAACTAATGGCTTGTTTTTACCATAAGATAATGAATTTCTCAAGAATTTAGTTGGAGATTTTTATTTCATAAATTTAATTTCCTGGATCCTATACTATTTCAGGTGCTCCTGACATCTGATAAAGCTGCAGCCAATTTTTCAGATCGTTCTTTGCTGAAGAACTTGGGACACTGGCTTGGAATGATCACATTAGCTAAAAATAAACCCATCTTACATACTGTGAGTTTAAGGATATGTATAACGTTTGAATGTTATGATGTATTAAGTCTATTGGGGAACTTTTTTAATGAGCAGAATATATTTAATTGAGAGAAAGAAAGCTCCTGTGTGAGAGAGGGACAGGAGGAGGGCCCGAGCGGGTGGTTCCCGGGATAGGGAACTGTTTTAATGATTACTTAATTTTAATAAAACATCAGCTTGTGTTTTTGAGTTGTAAATTTTATGTCCTTGTTTCTCCATCAATTTTTAAGAGTAAAGAAAAGCCAGTAAGGTATGGCTTTTTCTAAGACAGAAGACAGATATTATGTTGGTTCCTACTTTGGGGATGAGTTTAGTGAAATACCTTTCTATGGGCTTTTGGGCTTTTATAGTATGTTTCCATCTTTTGAAGATTTCTTTTTTAATTCTAGGACTTGGATGTGAAATCTTTGCTGCTAGAAGCTTATGTTAAAGGGCAACAAGAATTGCTCTATGTAGTGCCCTTTGTTGCCAAAGTCTTAGAGTCTAGCATTCGTAGTGTGGTAAGTTTTAATACTTTATTCATGGCTCATCTGGAAGAGTTAGATTGTTTTATCATGAGATCCAAGAACTTATATTCTGGGCCGGGGAGATGGCTCAGTGGAATAAGTGCTTTCCTGGCAAGCACTAAGGACCTGAGTTCAATCCCAGTTCTGCCAAAAACAAACAAATAAATAAATAGAACTTACATTCTTAGTTATAAAGGTAGTTCAGTTTTCTTTAGTGACCTTTTTTTTTTTTTTCAAATTTTATTTATATATATATATGTGTGTGTGTGTGTGTGTGTGTGTGTGTGGCCAGCTCAGCCCACCAGGGGGCAGGTGGGCTGGCATGTGGTGCTGGAGGATTGAACCACGGTCCCTGTGCTTTGCTAGGCTTGTTCTAAGTAGGTGCTTTAGACCACTGAGCCATCTAACCTAGTGACCTGTTGATATCCAGTTTGAAAAGTTGGATAAAACTATTAAGACTGAGTCTATGTCTTTGGATTTTACTATTTTTCTAAAATATGCTCTATATGAATAGGTGGGAAGGCAAAGGTTTTTTGTTTTAGTTTTTTTGTAAAACAAGTCTCTATATGTAATTGAGGCTGGCCTTGAAGTCATTGCTCCTCCTGCCTCTTATCTCCCCAGTGCTGGGATTGGCAGTCATGAACCACACCACCCAGCTAGGGATTTTGCCAATCATACAGATTTTAAGTTTTCAACTCTAAATCTAATTTAATGTCAGTTTAGGAGCTCATTTAACATGTACTTTTTTTCTTTAGGTTTTTAGGCCACCAAACCCCTGGACAATGGCAATTATGAATGTATTAGCCGAGCTACATCAGGAACATGATTTAAAGGTAAATTTATTGCATCTTTGCAACATTGACTTTGTTAAAAATGTGCAGTAAAGGCAGTTTCTTGAAAGGATAGTGGATCGAGAGTATATTTAGAGTAAAACTGAGATGTTGTCGCTGTACTACCTCTGTGGCCCACAGAACACTCAGGCCCCTTTGGGTGTGAGCGGAATTGCAGGTGCACACTTGACCCAGTATCCAAGGCAGTGAATAATAGCTCTTAAGTCTGGAACTACAAAATGGCCTCTAATAAAAATACATTGCAAAAAATGGACAAGAAGCAAAATGGAAGAAGTAAAAAGTTGAGGAAGCAGAGCCTAAAGAGTTTGTGGTAGAGGAAATACTGGACTGACATATGGTGAATAGGGAGCACGAGTGTTTTCTGAAGTGGAAAGGATTTATAGATGTTGACAATTCATGTAAACCTGAAAAAAATTTAGATTGTCCAGCAGGAATTGAAGCATTTCTTGATGTTCAAAAAGCTGGTAAACAAAAAATAGTACAAAAAGTGAATCTGATGGTAGCAAATCTAAGGAGAAAAAAAAGAGATGCTGTTGATAAACCTTACAGGCTTTGTTAAGCATTCTTGATCCAAAACAAATAATTGGTGTCAGAGAGAGAAGTAACGAATTGATGGTTTTCTTGAAATGCAAAGATTTGGATGAGGCTAATTTGTTGCTGGCAAAAGAAGCAAATATGAAATGTCCTCAAGTTATAAATGTTGGGCTGGGGAGATAGCTCAGTAGAATAAGCACTTGCCTGGCAAATGCAAGGTCCAGAGTTCAATCCCTAGTACTGGGGGAAAAAAAAAAAAAAAGTTATAAATGTTTTTTATGAAGAGAGACTAACTTGGCATTCTTGTCCAGAAGATGAAACTCAATAACATATTTATATAAAATGGGTCTTGGTGTTGATTTACTAGTGTGAAAAACATAACATTTTAATGAAAATCAAGTTTAATATGTTGATGATTTTGAAAATAGTATTGGGGGAGTTGAATTTTTGCTTTCTATCTATATAGCACTGGTTATTATTTTTTTTTTTAAATTTTATTTATTTATGTGTGTGAGTGTGTGTGTGTGGCCCGCTCAGCCCACCAGGGGGCGGGCTGGCATGTGGTGCTGGGGGATTGAACCGCGGTCCCTGTGCTTTGCTGAGCTTGTTCTAAGTAGGTGCTTTAGACCACTGAGCCATCTCACCAGCCCCAAGCACTGGTTATTTTGAACAAATAAAGTATTTGTAGTTGCTTCCTTTATTAGAAAAGAGCATCTGACAGCCTGATTTATTTCTTCTGCTTTCCTAATAGATTTTTCTTCTGCTTTCCTTTTTTTCCCTCCTGTTTTTCTAAATGATAGAATTGTCCATAGTCAGACTAAGTCAGAACTCACTCGTGTTTTAGCTCACATGCTTAAGGACCATTCTCAGTTGTGTGTGTGTGTGTGTGTGTGTGTGTGTACATATAAAATATTTTTTAAGGCTTATTATTTATTTTTCTGTATTTAGTACAGGGTCTGCAGGATCTCACTACATAGATTGGACTCATAGTGATCCTCCTGTTTTTAGCCTCCCAAGCGCTGAGATTACAGGCAGGTGCCACCACACCCAGTGTCAATTGCCTGTCTGAGCGTGTCTCAGAGACTGGGCCTGCAGGACACACTGGGGCTCAAGCCCAGATCCCTACCCCTGCCTAAGCAGGCACTTTAATCAGCTGAGCTATCTGGCCAGCCCTGTCTGTGTGTATAAATAAAATACTTCATGTGAATTTGTTTTGTTTTGTTTTTAAACATTCACCAAAACAAAAACTATAGGTAGATAAGCTCATGTTTGAGAGCAACCTAAGGAATAAATCACTTCCAGTTAGATACATTTTCCCGAAGCCATTAACCTTTCAATTTAAGTAGATGATTCTGTGGTTAATTGCACAGTTTAAAGTGGATATTTGCAAAGCAGCTGTATCCAAATTCGTATCTTTGTCTTTAGTCACAAAAATACGTAAGTTTACTTGCAAAATTCCTAAAAAGACAAAATCTTTCTTCTACGAAAAACTTCCCCACTTGAATAATAATAAGTCAAAATCTAGTTCATTTGAATTAACTAAGAAAGACTTGTTAAGGGAACATTTAAGATTCCTGATGACCCATTACTTTACAAAGTGTTGAAATCTGTACTCAAATGTCAGGGTTTGTGAATGTCTGAGACTTGGCTCATGGGAACCTACTGAGTGGCTAGAGGTGTTCACAAATCAGGACCTCTTAGAACAAATGAGTGGACGAACTTGTAATCCAATAAGTTATCGACCTGCATATTTTTCTTGATGCCACCTTGTTCCTTACATGGAGGTTAAATCTTTTTAGTATTTGAGTTATTTTCAGCAGTTTACTGTAAATGAACAATGTCAATAAAGTTTCATATTCCTTTAAAATAAG